GAAAATATATAATACTGCCTAGGCGAGATTCGACCATGCTATATAACCTATTGTCTCAGAGAGTTTGGCTCCATGTGCTACATGCTAGCAACCATTTGAGAGCTTTGATTAGAAAAAAAATCCTAACTATATTTGCAGGTAAGGTGTCCAGTAGATGTCGGTGTTTTGGAAGAGACTTGGCATCGAAAATGCTCGGATACCACGGTGCAATCAGTTTGATCTCAAATTTCGAAAACACGTTTTGAAAATAAATTAACCAAAAGAAGATTCAGATGTAATTGATCACGTTTTAATGTTACTTTGTGGGGACAGTAACATTAGTAGGCTACTCTCCATTTTTTTTTACTTTAAGGAATTATTATTTATTTTTTCACATATAATAATTTCAGTAGGCTATGCATTAAGGTTCCTGTAGCAGAATAGACTGGGCAAAACCAATGTAGACATTAATACATGCATTTCTATAGCTTCCAAAATCCTTTTAAAATGGTGGAGGAGAAAGAAAAAAATGCAGCCTAGTGGCTTCAAAACAGTGGATCAGTCATCTAGGGTTTATAGTTTCTTTGGTCGGATCAGTAGTGCTGTGAAAACAGCTTCGAAGCATCGGAGCTCCGGTATCAATTGTAACATCACTAGGCCTACTACTATCTACCATCTATCCAGTCACTGCGTGACGCTCTCCCGTCATATATACATTGTTATGAGGAGAAAAACAGGGAAATAATAATCTGGATTCTTTCCTATCAAGGTATGTAGCCTATAAGCCTACTACATATATTCTGCATGCACAACAAGAATGTTTGTGCGATGGCCATGTTCACGGCTCATAATTCGATTTTCCATTGCAGCTGTCTGCTTTCTCCATGCAGCAGTAGCGGCGTTTAGTTTTAAATGGGCTATTTTATTTTGCAACATAGGCAAATAATAAACTCTCCTCCTTTTATCATTTTTTTTGCATTGCCTCGGTCAGTGATGTTTGTTATTTTTGTCGCAGGGTGATCTGTGGTCTGGGCGTTTACGTGCGAGCCTGTGTCTAGCAAGGATAGGGGAGAGGGAGTTGTGTGTGTTTGCCATTGACGGTATGCGTGTGCATATTGTTTTGTGTTGGGATTGCTTTCTGCCGGTTGCCTCGAGTCACACAGCGATCCGCACTAGGTGTAATAATGTGATTGAATCCTATTCTATCTATTCTAGCCTTTTATCCCTAACCTAATGTTTTGTTTTTCTTTAATGAAAAGATTATCATATAGTAAATATTCTTATTTTCTAGAAATCGGCTTGATATGGTTGATCCTTGTTTTTTTTTTTTTTTTTTGTCTTTTCCTGAGAATTAATGCCATCGTCCTCCTCTTCCCTAAGGAAAGGCGCGGCACCCTCCGTAGATTATACGGCACCATGAGAACGGCTAGCTCTCTGGAGAGTAGCCTAATATTCTGTGGATCCTCAACAGGTTGAAGCCCTATGTTTCATATAGGCCTATCAGGCGTGAGAGATGCCAAAGAATAGCTATATGTCTGGCTTTATAATCAATAATTTGTGTATATATATATATATATATATATATATATATATATATATATAATACTTTATTTTATTTTTTTAATCACGTTATAAATTGCATTGGCTGTTGTGGCCCTGTAGGCCCATTGTAGAATTTGATGTAATAATGGAAATGATGTTTGTTTCATTATCTCTAATCATTTCAATTGCCTTTCAAATTAAATTGCTGGCGTTGTGTGACAATGATTAAAGGATTATTGTGCCCCCCACATTTCTGAAGAGCGCACGACCCACACGGCCTTTGACTTGACGGATACGTTCCAAATTCAAAATGATATGGGTCGCGTGCGCACGTGCGCATGTCTCCAAGGTGGCTGTGTGAGAGAAAGGACCATAAACATTACAATAACATGAAGTGTTGTAAAGTCTGGTCTGAGACAGGGGAAGGGAGGTAGCTGTTTGACCAGCCAACGTTAACCAGGTAGCCTAACTCCAGGACCTATGGGCCCTGGTCAAAAGTAGTGCACTGCACTACAGTGGCTTCGGAAAGTATTCAGACCCCTTGACATTTTCCACATTTTGTTACATTATAGCCTTAATCTAAAATGGATTAAATCTACACACAATACCCCATAATGACAAAGCGATCCAATATTCTGTGGATCCTCAACAGGTTGAAGCCCTATGTTTAATGTAGGCCTATCAGGCGTGAGAGATGCCAAAGAATAGCTATATGTCTGGCTTTATAATCAATAATTTGTAACAAAAATAAAATAAAAAATACTTTATTTTAAAATTGTATTCACGTTATAAATTGCATGGGCTGTTGTGGCCCTGTAGGCCTATTGTAGAATTTTATGTAATCATGGAAATGATGTGTGTTTCAATATCTCTAATCATTTCAATTGCCTTTAAAATTTAATTTCTGGCCTTGTGTGACAATTATTAAAGGATTATAAAAAATAAAATCCTCAGCAATACCCCATAATGACAAAGCAAAAACAGGTTTTTAGAAATTTTAGCAAATTTATTAAAAATAAAAACAGAAATACCTTATTTAAGGTGACTCGAAATTGAGCTCATGTGCATCCTGTTTCCATTGATCATCCTTGAGATGTTTCTACAACTTGATTGGAGTCCACCTGTGGTAAATTCAATTGATTGGACATGATTTGGAAAGGCACACACCTGTCTATATAAGGTCTTACAGTTGACCGTGCATGTCAGAGCAAAAACCAAGCCATGAGGTCAAAGGAATTGTCCGTAGAGCGCTGAGACAGAATTGTGTCGAGGCACAGATCTGGGGAAGGGTACCAAAACATTTCTGCAGCATTGAAGGTCCCCAAGAACACAGTGGCCTCCATTCTTAAATGGAAGAAGTTTGGAACCACCAAGACTCTGCCTAGAGCTGGCCACCCGGCCAAACTGAGCAATCGGGGGAGAAGGGCGTTGTTCAGTAGTCCCATGTAGCTCAGTTGGTAGAGCATGGCGCTTGCAACGCCAGGGTTGTGGGTTCGATTCCCACGAGGGGCCAGTATGAAAAATGTATGCACTCACTAACTGTAAGTCGCTCTGGATAAGAGCGTCTGCTAAATGACTAAAATGTAAAAATGTCAGGGAGGTGACCAAGAACCTGATGGTCACTCTGACAGAGCTATAGAGTTCCTCTGTGGAGATGAGAGAAACTTCCAGAAGGACAACCATCTCTGCAGCACTCAACCAATCAGGCCTTTATGGTAGAGTGGCCAGACGGAAGCCACTCCTCAGTAAAAGACACATGACAGCCCGCTTGGACCATGAGAAACAAGATTATCTGGTCTTATGAAACCAAGATTAAACTCTTTGGCCTGAATGCCAAGCATCACGTCTGGAGGAAACCTGGCACTATCCCTACGGTGACGCATGGTGGTGGCAGCATCATGCTGTTGGGATGTTTTTCAGCGGCATGGACTGGGAGACTAGTCAGGATTGAGGCAAAGTACAGAGAGATCCTTGATGAAAACCTGCTCCAGAGCACTCAGGACCTCAGACTGGAGTGACGGTTCACCTTCTAACATGACAACAACCCTAAGCACACAGCCAAGACAACGCAGGATTGGCTTCGGGACAAGTCTCTGAATGTCCTTGAGTGGCGCAGCCACTCTTGAACCTGATCAAACATCTCTGGAGAGACCTGAAAGTAGCTGTGCAGCAACGCTCCACATCCAACCTGACAGAGCTTGAGAGGATCTGCAGAGAAGAATGGGAGAAACTCCCCAAATACAGGTGTGCTAAGCTTGTAGCGTCATACCCAAGAAGACTCGCGGCTGTAATCGCTGCCAAAGGTGCTTCAACAAAGTACTGAATAAAGGGTCTGAACACTTATGTAAATATGATATTTAATTTTTTTTTATGTATAAATTAGGAAACATTTCTAAACCTGTTTTTGCTTTGTCATTATGGGGTATTTTGTGTAGATTGATGCGGGGGAAAAACGATTTAATCCATTTTTGAATTAGTCAAGGGGTCTGAATACTTTCCGAAGGCACTGTATATACTACTGTATACTATTTTGTAAACTTACGTTGTAATTTAGAAAATAAAGACAAATGACATGGACAAAAGTATTGGCACCCCGGAGCACTTGGTTGCACAGCCTTTGGTCAAGATAACTGTAGTCAAACGCTTATTGTAGCTATCAATGAGCTTGCTGCACCTTTCTACTGGCAATTTGGCCCACTTTTCAGCAGTAAACTGCTCCAATTCTTCAATGTTTGAAGGGTGCCCTCCACCTACTGCTGTCAGATCTTGCCTTAGGTTTTGGATGTGATTTAGATCTAGACTAGATGCTGGCCTCTCCAGAACAGTCCAGTGTTTCATCTTGAACCATTCCTGGTTGCTCTTTTTTGTTGTGTGTTTGGGGTCATTGTCCTGCTGGAAGACCCATGACGTTCAATGGAGACCCAGTTTTTGGACACTGTGTTGAACATTGGAGTCCAAAACACCGGACAATCTGCTGAATTCATGATGACATAGCCGTGGTATACAGTCTTTTATAAACTGGGTGGTTCGAGCCCTGAATGCTGATTAGCTAAAAGCTGTGGTATATGAGACCGTATACCACGGGTATGCAACATGTATTTTTACTCTTCTAATTAAGTTTATATCCAGTTTATAATAGCAATAAACCACCTAGGGGGTTTGTGGTATATTGCCAATATACCACGTCTAAGGGCTGTATGTTGCGCATGTTCAAGGTCCCCAGTACCAGAGGCCGCAAACAAACCCATAGCATTATTAAACCTTCCTACAATCAAACATGGGAAGGTTTAATAATGCTGTGGGTTTGCTTCATTTGGTCGTTCTTTATTTATTCATAATCTGTCTGTCTGTCTTATACCCCCCACACCGACCTGTTCACACTATAATCCATCATATTTCTGGTCATTTTTTATCTATGCCAATACTGGGGAAAACAAATTAGGAATGGTTCACAAAAAAAATCTATATTTCCCACACAGATGATGTGGAGTCTGTGGATCCTGCTGGGCACTCTCAGTGTGGGTGAGTATTTTTTTCCTCCATAATTTAAATGTTTTATTTTTTAAGTACAAAATGTTGTACAAGTTTCGAACCTGAAGAAGTATGTGGGAGTTGTAGCTTACTGTATTAGCTCTTTACATTCCAATGAAATGTCATCCAGAAAACACATTGATGAACAAATTAATGGTTTCAATCTACAGTGTTTTAATCCTGTCTTTCTCACTCCATCTCTCTCCATAACCCCCCCCGTCTCTCAGATGGCTATGCGGTGCACGACCTGCACGAGCGTCTGTCCCACGGGCGTCAGCTGAAGATCTACCTTCCAAAGAGCTCTTCGAAGCTGGAGTTCACCCCTGCTGCAGAGCCCATGAAGACCTACCTGTACTGGGACCGTGGCGCCCGGACCACCAAGGGACGGGTGTCTGGGACAGGAACCGACAGGCGCTGGTATCTGGACAAGGTGACTGACTGACTCTTCAATTGTCCAAGTCAAATTTTCCCTAGGGGACAATAAAGTATATCATATCATACCACCAGAGGTCCAATTGAGGGGGGTGTTGGGGGATGGTATCGTCCTTTTAACAAAAAATACCACTTGATTTTGAACGTTATTAATACATTTACACCCCTCCGGCCAATGCAACTACCATCCTCTATCTATCTCTTTCATTTAATTGTATTGTTTTTATTGTGAAGCAATTTTAAATGCACTTTGATTTGATCTGAAGGTGACGTATGAGGACCAGGGGACCTACGTCCAGACAGACCACTGGAACAAGGAGATCTCCTCGCTCAAAGTGGCTGTGAACAGTGAGTGCAGGAGGGGGTATACGGTGGGGTGATGGGGAGAGTTGTTGTTTAGCATGTTATGGAAATATTGTCCTTTGTTGTTGTCAGTTGGTGTACAGAACCTTCTTGCATTTTGATCTTTTGTCTCTCCGTTTCTCTGACTCTTGCTTGCTCCTTCACTATCTCTCTTTCCACCTACTCTCTCTCTCACCCACCCCCCTCTCTTTCTTTCACTCTCTTCCTCTAATGCTAATTTTCCTCTTACTTTCTCTCACCCCTTCATGTACCTGCCCCATCTCTGTTTCCAACTACTCTCTCACCCTTCCTTGTAACACGTTCTCACACCTTTTCTCCCCCCACCCCAGCCAGGCGTGAGTACCCGAAATGCGTGGCAGGTGAGGACCTCTATATCTCATTGGAGGGCATCGACCTAGCCGACGCCCAACTCTCCTTCTCGGGCGCCGACGCCAATGTCAGCCTGGTACATGATGGGGCCGTGGTCGCCCAGGACCACCCGGACTACTGGAACCGGGTCAAGACCTACTCCACCAAGATCACCATCGAGAACGTCAACACCACGGACGTGGGTTACTACATGCTGAGGGACAGGAGAGACAGGGTTGTCTCCATCATCAGGATGGAACTCACAGGTGGGGGAGTGTGTGTGTGGTTTTTTGCTGTGTCACCATGCGTTGTTAGCTGCTCCAAACCGTGGTCTGCATATATGCTGGCTGCGTCCCAAATGGCCTAGCCCCACTTACCTAACCTCAACCCTGCCTGGGAGCAGCAACATTAGTGTGTGTGTGTATATATGATTCTCATCATAGACATAGAATGGATTCTATTCTAGAATATAAATTATGCTATTTACAGTGAGCTCCAAAAGTATAGGGACAGTGACACATTTTCTGTTGTTTTGGCTCTGTACGCCAGCAATTTGGATTTGAAATGATACAATGATGAAACTTCTACATTAATGTGGATGCTACCATGATTACGGATAGCTCTGAATGAATTAATGGCATTGTTAGTTGATCCAAACCTTGGTCTGCATATACACTGTTGCGTCCCAACTGGCTCCCTATGTAGTGCACTACCTTCTACCAGAGCTCTATGGGCCCTGATCAAAAGTAGTGCACTAAATAGGGAAAAGGGTGCCATTTGGTCTGCATTGACACTGGCTGGCACTAAGTGGCTATCCAAGTATCATATTACCCTGTCAATGGTCTTCACCACTCAGACTGCATATGCATCCCAAATGGCACCCTATTCCCTATTAAGTGCGCTACTGGTTAAATGTAGTGCATTACATAGGTAATTGTGTGCCATTTGGGACGCATACCATGAGTGTACAAACTGAAAATAGAGGGACAAGGAATCTGAATTCCCATCTTCACTCTTTCTGCCCACCATATGTTTTTAATTTTCCAAAGTGACAGTTCTCTGCTGACCTCCAGAGAATGGATAGGCTAGGACAGGCCAGGAGTTTATTTGTTATTATGAATTGGGTAGTTTTCATTTTAGTCATTTAGCAGACGCTCTTATCCAGAGCAATTTATAGTAGTGAGTGCACACATCTTCATACTTTCTCGTACTGGTCCCCCATGGGAATCGAACCCACATCCCTGGCATTGCAGGCGCCATGCTCTATCAACTGAGCCACACAGGATTGGTTGAAAGGCCTGGTACATTTAAGCAATAAGGCACGAGGGGGACTGGTATATGGACAATATACCACCGCTAAGGGCTGTATCCAGGCACTCAGCATTGCGTCGTGCATTAATAACAGCCCTTAGCCGTGGTATATTGGCCATATACCACACCTCCTTGGGCGTTATTGCTTAATTATAGTAGGTCTCCACACAAAAATGATAGCAAAGAGCTGACTTCATTCTGATTCAGATTAGTTGGAATTGAGCACTCCTATTCTCCTGTTGTACTTTGTCTGCGTCCCTATGGGCCCTGAAGGGTATACTACAAAGCAGGATCAATGAGCGTGATTTAATTTGAAACTTTTCTTCAACAATGTGCATATAAAGAGTCAAGTATTTATGTATTGCTCAGTTTACTCTCAATATGTTTTGCTGATCATGTAAGACAACCATGCATACATACATGCACTAAAAACATACCATGAGTGAATTATGGAATTCAAACCTATTTTAACTGCCCTACACTCTTAGAAAAAATTGCTGGAACCAAAAAGGGTTCTTCCTGGAACCAAAAATGGTTATCCTATGAGGACAGCCGAAGAAGCCTTTTGGAACCCTTTTTTCTAAGAGTGTAAGAAAGAGGCCCCTGTAGACCAGAGTGGTTGTTTCCAATAGGCACCTACACACACTTCAAATGGCCACCAGTCTCAGTTCTACTGGTCTCTACTGAGTTCTACTGATCTCTACTGTGTTTCTGTAGTGTATGTACTAAGCATAGTCTTCTACTAAACATGCTCTTCCTGTCCTTTGCGCTAAATTATCACAGTCTGTATTTTAGTTGTATGTTTTTTGGGCTATTTGAGAAAGACCTCATAGGCACCTACAGTAACTGACTCTACGATCTCTTTCCCTCTCATCCCAATTACCCCTCTTTCTCTCTTTTTGCTATCCCGATTTCTCACCTTTCTCCCCCATCTCTTTCACACTGACTCTCTCTTATTCTGTCACGCTCTTTCTTTGGCCTCCTCCCCCTCCCTCTCTCCTGCCTTCCTTCTCTCATTCCCCCCCCCCCGCCCCCCTCTCCTCCCCTCCCCTCTCCCTCCCTCCCTCCCCTCTCTCTCCCTCCAGACCACCATGACTATGAAGCAGCTAACCCCCTCATGGCCCTCCTCCTCCTGCTGGGGATCCCCGCCGGTATCTGCTGCTGTTGCCAGAAGAAGATCTTCAAGAAGAAAGCCCCCCACACCACAGCCATCCTCCAGGGGACCCCCGAGACTCTGCACCCTCCTCCCGGCTACAATATCCCCGGAGGGGTGTCCCCTGGACCTGGTGGCCCGGTAAGGGATAGTTTGATGGTGGCTTGGCGACATCCCAAATGGCATCCTATTCCCTATTTAGTGCACTACTTTTGGCCAAGCACCCCATAGGGCTTTGGTCAAAAGTAGTACACTATGTAGGTAATAGTCCCAAATGGTACCCTATTCCCTATATACTGTAGTGCACTACTTTTTACCAGGGCCGATGGTACCCTATTCTCTATTTAGTGGGCTCTGGTCAAAAGTAGTTCACTTTATAGGAAATAGGGTGCCATTTGGGACATAACCTTTGTTAATATACTGTATACAGTGCCTTTAGAAAGTATTCATACCCTTTGACTTATTCCACATTTTGTTGTGTTACAGCCTGAATTCAAAATTGATTAAATATATATTTGTTCTCACCCATCTACACACAGTACCCCATAATGACAGTGAAAACATGTTTTTAAAAATGTGTGCACATTTATTGAAAATTAAATACAGAAATATCACATTTACATAAGTATTCACACCCCTGAGTCAATACATGTTAGAATCTCCTTTGGCAGTGATTACAGCTGTGAGTCTTTCTGGGTAAGTCTCTAAGATCTTTGCCCACCTGGATTGTACAATATTTGCACAATATTATTTTTAAAATACTTCAAGTTGGTTGTTGATCATTGCTAGACAGCCATTTTCAAGTCTTGCCATAGATTTTCAGCCCATTTAAGTCAAAACAGTAACTCTGCCATTAAGGAACGTTCAATGTCGTCTTCGTAAACAACTCCAGTGTATATTTGGCATTGTGTTTTAGGTTATTGTCCTGCTGAAAGGTGAATTAATATCCCAGTGTCTGGTGGAAAGAAGACTGAACCAGGTTTTCCTCTAGGATTTTGCCTGTGCTCAGCTCCATTCCGTTTAGTTAGGAAGGACACCTGTATCTCTGTAGTGACTGGGTGTGTTGTTACACCATCCAAAGTCTAATTAATAACTTCACCATGCTCAAAGGGATATTCAATGTAAGCTTTTATTTATGTTTACCTATCTACCAATAGGTGCCCTACTTTGTGAGGCATTGGAAAACCTCCCTGGTCTTTGTGGTTGAATCTGTGTTTGAAATTCACTGCTCGAATGAGGGACCTTACAGATAATTTTATGTGTGGGGTACAGAGATGAGGTAGTCATTTAAAAAGCATGTTAAACACTATATAAAGAGTGAGTCCATGCAATTTATTATGTGACTTGTTAAGCACATTTTTACTCTTGAACTTATTTAGGCTTGTCATAACAAATCGGTTGAATACTTATTGACTCGAGATATTTCAGCTTTTCATTTTTTTAAAATGTGTCAACATTTCTAAAAACATAATTCCACTTTGAGATTATGGGGTATTGTGTGTAGGCCAGTGACACAAAATCTCAATTTTATCCATTTTAAATTCAGGCTGTAACACAAAAAAAAGTCAAGGGGTGTGAATACTTTCTGAATGCACTGTACATAATAGTATATGCCATATAGTACCCACTTTGGTAACACTTTACTTGACACCCAGCGTCATAACACGTTATGACTTGGTCATAACCATGTCATAATATATCATAACAGCTGACATAATTTGTCATAACTATTATAATATGGTCATAACACTGTCATGATACATAAATTTAGACCTGTTGTGACATATATTGCATTATTTAATGGCTGGTTATGACACCTACAAAAGAGTGTAAAAACCCACAACCTGCCACGGTAGTTATTTTATGGCTGGTTATGACACCTACTTAAGAGTGTCAAAACCCACAAAACCTACCACACAAGGCAAAACATTCCATTACACCATAGCCTACATGTCAACAGTATGTTTATGTTATATATATATTTTTTTAATTGACCATATTAAATTATCATTGTAATTGTGCACACATTGATGTAATGTAATTTGAATAAATGTGGGTTTGACACTCTTATGTAAAATAACACAATATATGTCACAACAGGTGTTAATAATGGGTCATGACAGTGTTATGACCATATTATGACAAGTTATCTCAGCTGTTATGACATATTATGACCGTGTCATAACGTGTTATGACACTGGGTGTGAAGTAAAGTGTTACCGACACTTAATCCAAAGCATTTTAAAATATATGGGTGGTCGCATGAATCAGACCCACTATCCTGGCGTTGCAAGCACCATGCTATACCAACTGAGCTACAGAAGACCACATGTTGCCCTTAGGTTCCTTATGTCTCCCCTCTCACTCCTTGATGTACTATCATAATGACATTGCAGTGATGTTTTGTGATTGAACGGTCGGTAATAACATAAATTGTGTTTTTGCTGTGATTATTGCAGGTATTTTATCATGGTCCAGGCCCAGATCCTAACATGGTACATGATGCATGTATTATTACTCAATTAACTACACTGTGGTGTGTTGTGTTGTACTGGAATGAAGTAGTGTGTGTGGTTATCGGCTTTGTGTTACTGATCTGAACGACAAGCAATAATGCCTTTGTATGTGTATCGTTTTCTTATTTTCATGTTAGTCATGTCATGAGCACTGTGCGTGTAGCATGTGTGTATTAAATATATAGATGTACCTATGTCTAACTGTGGGTGTCCATGTACAGTATCTGTGTATGTATAGTATGTGTATGAGGATATACTGTAATGGATATATAGTCTGAGCAGGGATGGAAATGAAGCTAGCCCGAGTCTAGTACTTTTCAGACTGGGCTAGTAGTAAATGCCCAGTAAAATGTTGTCTTTTCAAACATTGCATGGCACAGATTTTGGACCCAAAATCCTTAAATTGCATCCCTGAATATGACTATATAAAGGTATATTTGAGTCCCTCTGTCTAACTGTAGGAACTGTGGTGCTCCTCCATGTACAGGGAGGTTACCCCCAGGTCTACTCTCCCCCCAACCCTGGGATGCCTGGCCAGCCTCAGTGGACCGGACCCCCATTCCAACCAGTGAGTCAATCCATTCATCTCTCCTTCACTCCTCCTCTCTCTCCATCTGTTAATGTGATCACTTAGCAGCACAACTGTAAGGTCCGAAAGCATAGAAAACGAAGGAGATGGGTAGAGAATGTCTGGCCCATATGGCACCCATTCCCTTTATAGTGCACTACTTTTGACCAGGGCCCATAGAGTGCCATTTGGGATACATCCACTGTCTATGTACAGGAGGGTTGGGGCTGAGTTAGGGGCTGTGAAGCTACACTAACCTTCCAGTAATAAGGTTATGTCTGTCCCAGTTGATTAATAAATCAGATACAGTTGAAGTCGGAAGATTACATACATACTCAGCCAAATACATTTAAACTCAGTTTTTCACAATTCCTGACATTTAATCCTAGTAAAAATTCCCTGTTTTAGGTCAGTTAGGATCAGTTAGAATGTGAAATGTCAGAATAATAGTAGAGAGAATGATTTATTTCAGCTTTTATTTCTTTCATCACATTCCCAGTGGGTCAGAAGTTTACATACACTCAATTAGTATTTGGTAACATTGCCTTTAAATTGTTTAACATGGGTCAAATGTTTTGGGTAGCCTTCCACAAGCGTCCCACAATAAGTTGGGTGAATTTTGGCCCATTCCTCCTGACAGAGCTGGTGTAACTGAGTCAGGTGTGTAGGCCTCCTTGCTCACACACGCTTTTTCAGTTCTGCCCACAAATGTTCTATAGGATTGAGGTCAGGGCTTTGTGATGGCCACTCCAATACCTTGACTTTGTTGTCCTTAAGCCATTTTGCCACAACTTTGGAAGTATGCTTGAGGTCATTGTCCAATTGGAAGACCCATTTGCGACCAAGCTTTAACATCCTGACTGATGTCTTGAGATGTCGCTTCAATATATCCACATCATTTTCCTTCCTCATGATGCCATCATGATGCCATCTATTTTGTGAAGTGCACCAGTCCCTCCTGCAGCAAAGCACCCCCACAGCATGATGCTGCCACCCCCGTGCTTCACGGTTGGGATGGTTCTTCGGCTTGCAAGCCCCCCTTTTTCCTTCAAACATAACGATGGTAATTATGGCCAAAGAGTTCTATTTTTGTTTCATCAGACCAGAGGACATTTCTCCAAAAAGTACGATCTTTGTCCCCATGTGCAGTTGCAACCCGTAGTCTGGCTTTTTTATGGCAGTTTTGGAGCAGTGGCTTCTTCCTTGCTGAGCGGCCTTTCAGGTTATGTCGATATAGGACTTGTTTTACTGTGGATATAGATACTTTTGTACCTGTTTCCTCCAGCATCTTCACAAGGTCCTTTGCTGTTGTTCTGGGATTGATTTGCACTTTTCGCACCAAAGTACGTACATCTCTAGGAGACAGAACGTGAGCGGTATGACGGCTGCGTGGTCCCATGGTGTTTATACTTGCGTACTATTGTTTGTACAGATGAACTTGGTACCTTCAGGTATTTGGAAATTGCTCCCAAGGATGAACCAGACTTGTGGAGGTCTACAATTTTTTTTCTGAGGTCTTGGCTGATTTATTTTGATTTACCCATGATGTCAAGCAAAGAGGCACTGAGTTTGAAGGTAGGCCTTGAAATATATCCACAGGTACACCTCCAATTGACTCAAATGATGTCAATTAGCCTATCAGAAGCTTCTAAAGCCATGACATAATTTTCTGGAATTTTCCAAGCTGTTTAAAGGCACAGTCAACTTAATGTATGTAAACTTCTGACCCACTGGAATTGTGATACAGTGAATTATAAGTGAAATATTCTGTCTAAACAATTGTTGGAAAAATTACTTGTGTCATGCACAAAGTAGATGTTCTAACCGACTTGCCAAAACTATAGTTTTTTAACAAGAAATTTGTGGAGTGGTTGAAAAACGAGTTTTAATGACTCCAACCTAAGTGTATGTAAACTTCCGACTTCAACTGTACTCTCAATAGGCCAATCTTCGTCAACAAGCAATATGCCTCTGTGTGTGACGGTGTTGTTTTGCTGTGGTTTGTTTCAGGGGTTCAACCCAGGCTACCCCCCACAGGACCCTATGTACCCCCCCACCCAGCCCCTGCAGTGGAACGGCCCGCCGCCCAACCAGCCACAGCATAACCCTGGTGCTCCTCCTATGGTAGGTCTCTCTACACTACCCTACTCTATTATATTATTCTCTTCTACTCTGTTCTATCCTACTCTAATCTGTTCTATTCTACTCGACTCTACCCTACTATATTCTATTCTACTCTTCTACTCTGCTCTGTTCTATTCTACTCTACTCTGTTCTATTCTACTCTACTCTACCCTACTATATTCTATTTTACTCTACTCTACCCTACTATATTCTATTCTACTCTACTCTGTTCTATTCTACTCTACTTTCTACTCTACCCTATTCTACCATATTTGGTTCTAGTATAGAACACTCAACTCAGCCTCTACTCCTCTTCCCTCTATTCTACAATCTATCTCACTCTGCATTCCTTCTGACCCCTAAGTGGAGTGGGCCGCCTAACCAGTATCAGTATCCCGTGGCTCCGATGGTATATATCTACTCTACTTAACCATAGTCTAGCGTCTCTTCCCACTCCGCCCCATCACCCTTTTCCTCTGTGTCTACAGATGTCAAATCTTAACTTGTACCTGCATTGTACCTTATGTAGGCTACATGCAGGCTACAGCACATTCTTAAGTGGATTATAATAAATTAACATATTTGTAGGAGGTAGATGTATTTTTTGTTAATTTTTTTAATCAATTGTTTTATTATATGTTGAAGGCAAGCAATAGGCTAAATAAATTATACATTTCCTTAGTGCGTGTGGTCCAGAGGTTACAGCCACTGACAATGGCGCACATATGTCCGAGTCGGCATGGGTTTAAATCTGGCCCGCTACATATGGATGAATGTCTTCTTTTGACACATTAATTCCACGCGGTTACAGGGTTAAAACAGAAACAACTCAAAGGTTAACAGTTTAGGCATTAATTCAGAGTGGTTAAGGTTAGGGTTTAAAACAAAAAATTTGAAAACTACGCACCTATGTTTCATCAGTATTTATAGTATTCTTAGTGCTTGTGAAAGTATAGTGAACTGTCGTAGCGAAGTGGTCTAAGCAGCGTGCTCTGGCTCTGAACCTCATGAGTTTCTACCCAGTGCTGGGTGATATAGAGACCAGCCTGAGCCTATATTAGGCCCACAAGTTAATTGCATTTATTTCAATGTTTTCAAGAAGTAAAACAAATAGTCTAATAATTTACACATTAAAGAAAAGTGTCTCAGCTCAACTAAATCATCTTTGGATAGACTCAAATGCATAAACATCTTGACAGCTTTACGAAATGAAATATTAAAGCCACACAATACAGGCTCTCAATCCACACCAAAGACCAGAACTATATTGACAAATTATACATAGCCTAATTATAAAACGTGGACGAGAGGGCGAACATATAGTAGGCCTACATCTGTCAATCAACTGATGGCCCAAATCACCTCATCAACTGAGCCAGGGAAACACTGTACCCTATTATCTGTTTTCACACCTTTCATTATGTGACAATGGATAGGCTAATGGTTAGTCTACAGAATGTAGCCTATTGGAATTTTATCAAATAACAAGGGGCCTATTGCAACCATCGATGGCACTAGATTATCGCCAGCTGATGTCTCGTTAAACCATCAATACTCGCTAAATTCCCCCGCACAGCTGATCTCAATTAGAACCATTACTGGTCACCTCATTACCGCTCCCTAAAAGATGATGTCGATGTTACGTTAGTCCTGCTTGCAACCAAAGTCTTTCAAGATATGTTTTTCTAATGTTGGTGTAGCCTACTGTTATTATTTTATTCATTTCCTATTTATGTTATCCAAAAGTGTCTGGTATGGTCATTTCTTATCAAGATCGGGAGTAAAATATTCCTGGACTGTCCGTATTTGAAAGGTGTACATAAATCAAGTCAATCGGGGGAATTTAGTTATTTGTGCCAGAAGAGTGTGGGCTGGAATCAAACCCAAGCTGACAAGATAGACCTATATGTGCGCACTGAAGACAGCAGCCCTAACCGCTAGACCACCCCAGGGAACAATTGAACTAAATTTTGACCTGATAAACTTGACACTTGTATGTCGAAGCCTAGTGGAGACCAATATCTATATTATGTTATTAGGCTATATAAAACGACAGATGTTGATGTGTATGGCTGCATTTCAGATACATTTTTGTACATTTGAACATTGTAGTAGCATTTGAGCGAGCGAGAGAGGAAATTATTTTGATAGCAAATCCCAATGAGTCGACTGCCCCCTCATGGAGGGAAAGATAACCGCTCTTTTTCAGGGACTCTCGAAGGCTCATTTGAATTTTTTGATGCAGCAGGAGAATTCTTAGCGACAAAAGAGGGATCAAGTTAAGATCCGACATCTGTATCTGTCATATGCTGCTCCAGTTTTGATCCTTCTCATCTCAGTGTGTGTGAATGTGTGTGTGTGTGCGTGTGTGTGCTTGTAAGCACACGTGTGTGTGTGTGTACATGACATGTATTTGTGTGACTAATTGTGTGTGTTTCAGGGGTATGCTCCGGTGATGTACAGTGCCCCTCCTCCAGGTGAGCCAGTGAAGGAGGAGATAAAGATGGAGAACATGTCTCCTGCTAATCCCCTCCTCGCCCACCCCCCACAACCCCCCCAGGTCAGTTCTGTCTCTCTCTCTCTGTCTCTGTCTCTGTCTCTGTCTCACACACACACACTTGCTAACTTTATGGATACATGGTTTTCATTAACTATCAACTTTCACTCCCTAGGCGTCATCGCCATACGCCCCCATGCCTGCACCTGCCTCTGACGTCCTGCACTCCTCCGACGGAGCCTACCAGTTTAACATCGACACAGGAAAGAACACCACCACCAATGCCACCAACTTCCTGTAGAACACCACCCAATGGCCCAATCAGGAGCGGCCCTTTCAACGTAATGGGGGCTCCGTCCCAATATGGCTCAATTGCTTCCTTTCTTCGTCTCCTTTCCTCGTCGCTTTCCCTGTGTGACCACTGATATTAATGGAAGGTATAAACCATGGGGGCTGTTTGCGATTCAAATTAGGGAGATGTTAAACAGGAGAAGTGCTAATGAATTTACCAACAAAAATGCAGAGATCCATCCCAGTTTTGTTTTTTTATTACATGGTCTGTGAAAAAACTGCTGACATGACTAGGTCTCGAGCTGGGTTTTTATTTAATGTGGGTATTTTTACCCCCTACCCATTTCACATAAACAAACAAAGGTAACAAAATGTAAAACATAATGGTTTTTGTCTCTGTGTAAATGGGGTATTAGTGAAGGAAAGGAGATAAGGAAAGTAGGTAATTGGGACATGCTCCTATTTCCTGTAAAGGGACAGGAAGTGCCCATTAGCTGTGATACAGACCTGTCAAAATGGCTGAAACAGACGCTGGAAGCATTGGATTGGTGCAGGAATGGCTGAAGGTAGTTTCCACCATATTCCCAGTCCATTTATTTTAAATATACTAATGTGATAATGATGAAGCACTCTTCCTCTCCTTCTGCACGGAGAATGATTTGCCTCATGTCCTTGTCATGTAAAATTACACTCATTCTAACACTGAAGTCCTATTTAATCTGCCATTTGTGCTTATTTAAGGTACAAGTCCACACTTCGGGAGAAGGGTAGAGAATTGGAATGTAGCCAGAGTCTAGGGGCGAGGGTTGGGAAGGCACTGGAAAGGGTAGGTTATTTTACATTTATTGTTTTAAATGTGTAGCCTTAGATTTTTTCTAACTTGTCTTTTTTTAAACTCAACAGTAAAGATGGTATCTATCAAACACTCCAACTGCCAACCATCTAGCAAAAAAACAAACAAACAAACATGATCATTATCCAACCAGAGAATTCAGAACCCACATCACACCCAGTCATCATCCAATCAGATGGTACCAGGAAAACTCATCATCACCATGAATAGACTAAGCAAAGCTCTCTATAAACAAATATATACATGTAAATACGATAAAAAATGCCTTTACGTTCCAAAGTATAGTTTGTCATTATATGCATGATGGACCATTTTAGTACTTTATATGAAACTACTGTCATTTCAACAGGGTATGCAGAGTAAAATAACTGTTTTGGCAGCTGATGATTAAAAACAATTGGGAGGCAGGTGCTATTTTATCAGGCCCAAATAGCCCCTTATTCCTTACATAGTTCACTACTTTTTACCCGATTAAATGTCATTCCTGTGCATCTGTTCTCTTGTATTGTTATCACGTTAGGTTGAACACTGACAGTTTTGTAGCGTCAATGAGGCTAACAGAGATGTATGAGTTCCTCAAGAGCCTATGCAAATCGCAAAGTTGTAATAGTTACCACTTTATTGCTGTATATAATCAGCAATGTTAATATTATATTAGAACATGTAATATGCATAAATATTCAAGAAACATTTTAATTTGCAGTGTACAAACTTAACATGATGAACAGCAATGACAATTATGCCAACGGGTGACCAAAAATAACTATCTTAAAGCCACACCTCCAATAAGCCACGCCTCTAATATGATAGGCTGCCACCTCTAAAATATATGATTAAAAAGGTTCAGAATTGAGCCCCTCCCATCACAAAAAGGTTTTAACCTTTACACAAGGGTTCCTCAAAGACCCTTTTCAGAGGGATTCCTCATGGAACCTTTTTCAACTGGAAAGGTTCCGCCGGTGTGGCAACCCAAAAGGTTATTCCAGGCACCTTTATTTCTGTAGGGAATAGGGTGCCATTAGGGATGCAGACATCTTGGTTTAAAAGAAGGCAAATTATGCTATTTATATATCAAGACATATTTAATGTCTCGTTTAACAATGAAGCACTCCTGAAGGTTATACAGACATTGTCTTCATCCCCTCATCGACCCTAGATGCTGATCTTGGGTCAGTTTTGCATTTTGGGTCAGTTTTGCAGGTTAGGATTGCGGGATGGGAAGCTGATCCTAGATCTGTACCTAGGGGAGGGAACCTTCACCCTGGAGGCTCCTCAACTCAGGTCACGTGGTGAGAAAAAACTATCCTAACTAATTCTACATTATATTCAGGGCCAGGAGCATTTCCAGACCATGTGACCTGACCAGGAAAAATTCCTGGCCTAGTTATTTGTTCTCATCATTACATTGTAGCTAGTCATCTTTTAACCATTGCAACGTGACACTGCCAAGGAACCAGAGTTAGCATTCTACCTCTCATTCCTTCATCTATGCACATATAGGCTCTGTTCCAATATCCACACTAGCATACCACTTAGAATGAAGCTATGACTGTGTCCAAAATGGCACCCTATTCTCTATAAAGTGTACTACTTTTGACCAGGGCCCAAGTTTACTAAGGTTACTCAACTACCACTGCATTTGTTTTGTCTGTTACCAATACCCTCATGAGCTGTAAACAAACTTGCTACTCCAGGGACATATTCATTAGTACAGACTGTAGTGAAATGTTTTTCAATGGAATTGTGTCATGTTGTAAAGCGTTTGGAGTAAACAGTTTCCGTTGGAAAGTGTTTTGCTACAGTTTGCTACGGTGTGCTCTAATGAATACAACCCAGGCTCCCAATGCTCTTTTTTTATTTACATTTTGTTACCTTGCTCTTTAGGGATACCACTTGAGCTTTTGGAGTAACTTTTAAAACGATTTTCAGAACGGCTTTTCTCACTTTGTAACTGTCTAGATGATTTCCAAAGCAATATCATTAGACCTTGTGGAATGTTCCGTTTGTTTTTATTTAATGAATATCTTTAGCATTTAAAGTAGAATAGTCTGTTGGACATGCACATATCCACCGCAATAAACAGAATACAAAAACCCTACGCTGCCTGTCCGTTTGTCTGCTTGAAAACAAGCTAATCAAATCTGCAGTTAATTCTGTTATCACACAAAAAAAGAACTACTTAGTACTTTATGAAAAAAGGCAAATGCTTTATTATACAAAATGCCCTCGTTTGGGTGTAGGGTCTGATCAGAGCCTGAAGGTAAGGAGGTGCCGTTCCCCTCACAGCTCCGTAGGCAAGCACCATGGTCTTGTAGTAGATGCAAGCCTCAACTGGAAGCCAGTGGAGTGTGCGGAGGAGCGGGGTGACATGAGAGAACTTGGGAAGGTTGAACACCAGACGGGCTGCAGCGTTCTGGATAAGTTGTAGGGGTTTAATGGCACAGGCAGGGAGCCCAGCCAACAGCGAGTTGCAGTAATCCAGACGGGAGATGACAAGTGCCTGGATTAGGACCTGTGCCGCTTTCTGTGTAAGGTAGGGTCGTACTCTGTGAATGTTGTAGAGCATGAACCTGCAGGATCGGGTCACCGCTTTGATGTTAGCGGAGAACGACAGGGTGTTGTCCAGGGTCACACCAAGGTTCTTTGCACTCTGGGAGGAGGACACAATGGAGTTGTCAATCGTGATGGCGAGATCATGGAGCCGGCAGTCCTTCCCCGGGAGGAAGAGCAGCTCCGTCTTGCCGAGGTTCAGCTTGAGGTGGTGATCCGACATCCACACTGATATGTCTGCCAGACATGCAGAGATGCGATTCGCCTCCTGGTTATCAGAAGGGGGAAAGGAGAAAGTTAATTGTGTGTCGTCTGCGTAGCAATGATAGGAGAGACCATGTGAGGATATGACAGAGCCAAGTGACTTGGTGTAGAGAGAGAATAGGAGAGGGCCTAGAACTAAGCCCTGGGGGACACCAGTGGTGAGAGCACGTGGTGCGGAGACAGATTCTCGCCACGCCACCTGGTAGGAGCGACCTGTCAGGTAGGACGCAAGCCAAGAGATGCCCAACTCGGAGAGGGTGGAGAGGAGGATCTGATGGTTCACAGTATCAAAGGCAGCGGATAGGTCTAGAAGGATAAGAGCAGAGGAGAGAGAGTTAGCTTTAGCAGTGCGGAGAGCCTCCGTGACACAGAGAAGAGCAGTCTCAGTTGAATGACCAGTCTTGAAACCTGACTGGTTTGGATCAAGAAGGTAATTCTGAGAGAGATAGCAGGAGATGTGGCTAGAGACGGCACGCTCAAGAGTTTTGGAGAGAAAAGGAAGTAGGGATACTGGTCTGTAGTTGTTGACATCGGAGGGATCGTGTGTAGGTTATTTGAGGAGGGGTGCAACTCTCGCTCTCTTGAAGACTGAAGGGACATGGCCAGCAGTCAAGGATGAGTTGACGAGCGAGGTGAGGTAAGGGAGAAGATCTCCGGAAATGGTCTGGAGAAGAGAGGAGGGGATAGGCTCAAGTGGGCAGGTTGTTGGACGGCCGGCCGCCACAAGTCGCAAGATTTCATCTGGAGAGAGAGGGGAGAAAGAAGTCAAAGCATAGTGTAGGGCAGTGTGAGCAGGACCAGCGGTGTCATTTGACTTAATAAATGAGGATCGCATGTTGTCAACCTTCTTTTCGAAATGGTTGACAAAGTCATCCACAGAAAGGGAGGAGGGAGGGGGAGGAGGAGGAGGATTCAGCAGGGAGGAGAAGGTGGCAAAGAGCTTCCTAGGGTTAGAGGCAGAGGCTTGAAATTTAGAGTGGTAGAAAGTGGCTTTAGCAGCGGAAACAGAGGAAGAGAATGTAGAGAGGAGGGAGTGAAAAGATGACAGGTCCGCAGGGAGTCTAGTTTTCCTCCATTTCCGCTCGGCTGCCCGGAGCCCTCTTCTGTGAGCTCGCAATGAGTTGTCAAGCCACGGAGCAGGAGGGGAGGACCGAGCCGGCCGGGAGGATAGGGGACATAGAGAGTCAAAAGATGCAGAAAGGGAGGAGAGGGAGGAGAGGAGGGTTGAGGAGGCAGAATCAGGAGATCGGAGGGAGAAGGATTTAGCAGAGGGAAGAGATGATAGGATGGAAGAGGAGAGAGTAGCGGGAGAGAGAGAGCGAAGGTTGCGACGGCACATTACCATCTGAGTAGGGGCAGAGTGAGTAGTGTTGGAGGAGAGCGAGAATGAAAAGGATACAAAGTAGTGGTCGGAGACTTGGAGGGGTTGCAGTGAGATAAGTAGAAGAACAGCATCTAGTAAAGATGAGGTCAAGCGTATTGCCTGCCTTGTGAGTGGGGGGGACGGTGAGAGGGTGAGGTCAAAAGAGGAAAGAAGTGGAAAGGAGGCAGAGAGAAATGAGTCAAAGGCAGACGTAGGGAGGTTAAAGTCACCCAGAACTGTGAGGGGTGAGCCATCCTCAGGAAAGGAACTTATCAAGGCGTCAAGCTCATTGATGAACTCTCCAAGGGAACCTGGAGGGTGATAAATGACAAGGATGTTAAGCTTGAATGGGCTAGTGACTGTGACAGCATGGAATTCAAATGAGGAGATAGACAGATGGGTCAGGGGAAAAAGAGAGAATGTCCACTTGGGAGAGATGAGGATTCCTGTGCTACCGCCGCGCTGACCAGATGCTCACAGCCTGAAGGTGTGTTGGGTCATTGTCCTGTTGAAAAACAAATGATAGTCCCACTAAGCGCAAACCAGATGGGATCGCGTATCGCTGCAGAATGCTGTGGTAGCCGTGCTGGTTAAGTGTGCCTTGAATTCTAAATAAATCACAGACAGTGTCACCAGCAAAGCACCCCTACACCATCACACTCCTCCTCATTGCTTTACGGTGGGAACCACACATCCGTTTACCTACTCTGCGTCTCACCCGGCGGTTGGAACCAAAAATCTCAGATTTGGACTCATCAGACCAAAGGACAGATTTCCACTGGTTGAATGTCCATTGCTCATGTTTCCTGGCCCAAGCAAGTCTCTTCTTATTATTGGTGTCCTTTAGTAGTGGTTTCTTTGCAGCAATTCGACCATGAAGGCCTGATTCACACAGTCTCCTCTGAACAGTTGATGTTGAGATGTGTCTGTTACTGGAACTCTGTGAAGCATTTATTTGGGCTGCAATTTCTGAGGCTGGTAACTCTAATGAACTTATCCTCTGCAGCAGAGGTAACTCTGGGTCATCCTTTCCTGTGGCGGTCCTCATGAGAACCAGTTTCATCGTAACGCTTTATGGTTTTTGTGACTGCACTTTAAGAAACTTTCAAAGTTCTTGAAATGTTCTGGATTTACTGACCTTCATGTCTTAAAGTAATGATGGACTGTCATTTCTCTTTGCTTATTTGAGCTGTTCTTGCCATGATATGGACTTGGCATTTTACCAAATAGGGCTATCTTCTGTATTCCACCCCTACCTTGTCACAGCACAACTGATTGGCTCAAACAAATTAATTCCACAAATTAACTTTTAACAAGGCACAACTGTTAATTGAAACGCATTCCAGGTGACTGCCTCATGAAGCTGGTTGAGAGAATACCAAGAGTGTGCAAAGCTGTCATCAAGGCAAAGGGTGGCTACTTTGAAGAATCTCAAATATAAAATATATTTTGATTTGTTTAACACTTTTTTTGTTACTACATGATTCCATATGTGTTATTTCATAGTTTTGATGTCTTCACTATTATTCTACAAGGTAGAAAATAGTTTAAATATATATATATATATATATATATATATATATATATATTGAATGAGTAGGTGTGTCCAAATTTTTGACTGGTACTGTATATATATATATATGTCCCCCCCACTTCTAAAACCAAAGTTGCACCCCTGGTCAAAAGTGTTGTCCGACTGATTTGTAATAAACATTGGCTGTTGATTACATCACTTTTTTTACATGGTGGGGTCACAGAAAATGTTTGATATCAAAAGGGTTGCAGGCCAAAACATTTTGGGAACCCCTGGTCTAGAGACTAATCTATGTTAATTATGGCGAGTGAACAAGCCACTACAAACTGGACTGACCCCTAGTGTAGCGACAAAGGCGGGGCTTTAACCAACAACCTTGGCTGCGGTTAGAGAGAACTACACCAGCAGTAACCACATGGCACTGATATGTTCAACCACTGGCCAGCAAACACGAACACGCACACACGCACACACAAGGGCTGGGCGATATATGTAATTATCATGCCTGTATCGTAAGAATCCGCTTGTTCTCATGTTGTCTCCTTCGCTCATCCTGTGCTGTGTGCACCTTCCCATT